TGAAGTCCATTTGGTCCAGTATGTCATTTAAAGTCTTTATTTCCTTGTTGATCTTTTGCTTAGATGATCTGTGCATTTCAGTGAGGGGCGTGTTAAAGTCCCCCACTATTGTATTGTTGTCGATGTGTTTCTTTGCTTTTGTATTAATTGCTTTATATAATTGGCTGCTCCCATGTTAGGGGCATAGATATTTACAATTGTTAGATCTTCTTGTTGGATAGACCCTTTAAGTATGATACAGTGTTCTTCTCCATCTCTTATTACAGTCTTTGATTTAAAATCTAACTTGTCTGATACGAGGATTGCCACCCCAGCTTTCTTTTGGTGTCCATTAGCATGGTAAATGGTTTTTTCACTTTCAACCTGGGGGTGTCTTTGGGTCTAAAATGAGTCTCTTGCAGACAGCATATCGATGGGTGTTGTTTTTTTATCCAATCTGATAGCGTGTGTCTTTTGATTGGGGCATTTAGCCCATTTACATTCAGGGTAACTATTGAAAGACATGAATTTAGTGCCATTATATTGCCTGTAAGGTGACTGTTACCGTATATTGTCTGTGTTCCTTTCTGGTCTATATTGCTTTTAGGCTGTCTCTTTGCTTAGAGGACCCCTTTCAAGATTTCTTGTAGGGCTGGTTTCGTGTTTGCAAATTCCTTTAGTTTTTGTTTGTCCTGGAAGCCTTTTATCTCTCCTTCTATTTTCAATGACAGCCTAGCTGGATATAGTATTCTTGGCTGCATATTTTTCTCATTTAGTGCTCTGAAGTTATCCTGCCAGTCCTTTCTGGCCTGCCAGGTCTCTGTGGATAGTCTGTTGCCAATCTAATGTTTCTACCATTGTAGGTTACATATCTCTTCTCCTGAGCTGCTTTCAGGATTTTCTCTTTGTCTCTGAGACTCCTAAGTTTTACTATTAGATGTTGGGGAGTTGACCTATTTTTATTGATTTTGAGAGGGGTTCTCTGTGCCTCCTGGATTTTGATGCCTGTTTTCCTTCCCCAAATTAGGGAAGTTCTCTGCTATAATTTGCTTCAATATACCTTCTGCCCATCTCTCTCTTTCTTCTTCTTTTGGGATCCCAGTTATTCTAATGTTGTTTCGTCTTACGGTATCGCTTCTCTCTCGAATTCTGCCCTCGTGATCCAGTAGTTGTTTATCTCTCTTTTTCTCAGCTTCTTTATTTTCCATCATTTGGTGTTCTGTATCACTAATTCTCTCTTCTTCCTCAGTTATCCTAGCAGTTAGAGCCCCCATTTTTGATTGTACCTCATTAATAGCCTTTTTGATTTCGACTTGGTTAGATTTTAGTTCTTTTATTTCTCCAGAAAGGGTTTCTCTAATAACTTCCATGCTTTTTTCAATCCCAGCTAGTATCTTTAAAATCATCATTCTGAACTCAAGTTCTGACATCGTACTAATGTCCGTATTGAGTAGGTCCCTGGCATTCGGTACTGCTTCTTGTTCTTTTTGTTGAGGTGTTTTTTTCCATCTTGTCATTTTGTCCAGAGGAGAATAGATGAATGAGAGAACAAAATGCTAACAGGGTAACAGCGTCCCCAGAAAATATACTCTAAACAAATCAGAAAAGACCTGAAACCAGGGGAAAAGAAAGGGAAAGAAAGAAAAAGATAAAAACAAAAACAGAACAAAACAAAAAAACCAGAATATGATCAAATATGATCAGGCTGGTGCATAGATCAGTGCCACACACTAGATTTTGGGTGTATTTTGGTCTTTTAGAAGAAAGTGCCTCCCAAAATTTTAAAGAAAGAAATATATATGTACAAAAATAAGGGTTAATACGATGAAGGGATGGAATATGACTGTAAAGATGAAAATCATAGAAGATTTTATAAAAGGAATTGATAAGTTGTTTGAAAAAAGAAGAGGATTTAAAAAAAAAAAGGAGAGAATTTGATCAGTCAGGAGACTAGAACAAAGCCATACACTAGGGATTTAGGGTGTATTTTGATGTGTTATAAGAAACTGTATCTCAAAATTTTAAAGAGAAAACAACTTATATATATATGCCAAAAATAAGGGTAACTACTATGAAGGGATAGAATATGACTCTAAAAATGAAAAATAAAAATGTTTTATAAAAAAGGGATTGATAAGATGTTGGTTGAAAGAGGGAAAAAGAAAAATTAAAAAAAAAAAACCATTAAAAAAAATTAACTTTGAAAGACTAAAGAATCATGGGAAAAAAGCCATGAATTCTATGTGCAGTATTCTCCTAGCTCTGGAGTTCTGCCGTTCTCATTGATCGGTAAACTTGGTCTTGGCTGGCTGTTCTCGCTGATCTTCTTGGGGAGGGGCCTGTTGCCGTGGTTCCCAGATGTCTTTGCCGGATGCGGAAGTGCCCTGCCCTTGCCGGTCCAGGCTAAGTAATCTGCTTGGGTTTGCTCTCAGGAGCTTTTGTTCCCTGCAAGCTTTCCGTGCGGCTTTGGAGGATGAGAGTGAAAATGGCGGCCTCCTAGTCTCTGCCCCAGAGGAGCCGAGAACTTGGGGCCCTACTCCTCAGTGCGCCCCCAGAGAAAAGCAGTCAATCACTCCCATCTCCCCGGTCTCCACCGCACTCCGTGCTCACCCGGCCTGTGAGCGAGCATTTCTATCTCTGGCGTACGACCCTGTGTGGAGTCTCCAAACCCAGCAGATCCCTGCGGTGCGCTCCCGTGCCGCTCCTCCCAGGGGAGGAAGGTGAGTCTCCCCAGATCTGCCACTTGTTGGGTCCCTGCTGGAGGAGCAGTGGTCCAACTGCCATGGATCCCGGTTTATGGTAACCCTGAGCTGAGAGCCCACTCCTCTGCTCCGTCTCTGCAGCCGGCTTCCCTGCTCCAATAGGTGGGAGCTCTGCTGCACTCAGGCACCCCCCGTCTTTCTGTGACCCCAAGGGTCCTGAGACCACACTGTCCCGCGAGGGTTCCACCCCCCGCTTAGCCACTGGAGTGATGTCCCTCAGTGGAGCCAACTTCTAAAAGTACCGATTTTGTGCTCTGCTGCTCTATCATTTGCTAGAAGTGGCAGTCGGAGGCCCCCTCCCCCGCTGTCTATCCTCCTGAATATCGCCTCGGGTTCACTTCTCCACACGTCCTACCTTCCAGAAAGTGGTTGCTTTTCTGTTCAGAGAGTTGTTGCTATTCTTTTCTTCGATTTCCTGTTGAGTTAGTAGGTGTTCAGAATGGTTTGATCCCTATCCAGCTGAATTCCTGGAACCAGGCGAAATCCAGGTCTCCTACTCCTCTGCCATCTTTCTCTACCCCCCTTTTATTTTAACTTTTTAACTGGAGTATAATGTACATAGAAGCCAATACATCAGTTATATGTGTTCACCTCAATTACCATAAAGTGACTATGCTGGTGTAATCATCATCCAAATTAAGAAATAGAGCATTACCAGCTCTCTAGAAGGCCCTTTTGTGACTATGTTTTCACTCTTTCCCAAAGGAAACCATGAAAATGGTTGGTTTTTCTTGTTTTTAAACTTTATACAAATGAAATCATAAAGGGAATCATGTTCTTTTGTCTCAATTCTCTCTCACTCAGTATTACTATGTTTGTGATATTCTTCTAAGTTGTTACATATAGCAGTAGTTTATTTTTATTTGTGTACAAAATATTCCTACTATAAATTAAATTTGGGTTATTTCCATTTTGATTGTTGTGAACATTCTTCTAAGTGTCTTTGGTGCACAGGTTATAAGCATTTCTGTTGAATATATACCTAAGAATGAATAAGGTATGTGAATAGTCAGTTTAGCTAATGACAAAAAATTTCCCAAAGGGGTTGTACTCATTTACAATCCATCAGCAATGTAACAGAGTTCCTGGCACTCCATGTCTTCATTCAGTCTTCGTATTGTCAATCTTTTATATGTTAGGCATTCTGGTGGGTATGTTGCAGGTATATTAGTTTTAATTTTTATTTCCCTGATGATTGGTAAGAGATCACTTTTCATATATTGATTGACTGTTTGGATATCCTCTTCTGTGAAGAGCCTATTCAAGTTCTTTGTGCACTTTTCTATTGGTTTGTATTTTCTTGTTGATTTATGGGAGTTCTTTATGTAGTCTCAACACAAGCCTATTGTTGGTTGTCCAGATTATAAATATCTTCTCCTATTCTTATTGGGGTCTTTGATGAACAAAAGTTCCTAATTTTAATATAATCCTATGGTTCATTCTTTTCCTTTATGGTTTGGGCTTTTTTTTTTTTTTTTGTCCTATTGAAGAAATCTTTCTCTGCCCTAAGGCCTTGATGATATTCTCTTATGTTATCTTCTAGAAGCCTTGTTGCTACCCTCATCACATTTAGATCTACAAGCCATCTGGAATGGACTTTTGTGTATAGTAGTATGAGTCTGTTTTCTGTTTTTCCATATGATTATTTTTCTGAACTCATATTTACTTCTATATAAAGAGTCCAGTGCTATTTCGATACCAGCTCCCGCAGAACTGTTGCTTGAGGACAGCAATCTATTGTGTCCCCTCCAGTACCTAGCACTTACACATAATAAATGCTTAGGAAATATTAGTTCATTCAGTTGAACTGAATATCAACTATCGTTCAAAATTCTAAGTAAAAAAAAAGAGTGCCTATTTGCATTAAATAACATCCCTTCATTGCTCTCCCTTCCCGTGTGTCATCCTAGGCACCTATGCACAGTGTGCCACACCTACCACCTTGTACCTTCCTGGAATTTTTTTTTTTTTTTTTTTGCTGTAGTTTTTGCAGAATTTCTGATCAGAGTCTGAAATAACTACAGAAAATACTACAGCAGAGGGAGAAAATTATTTTTATATAAGATTAGGGTAAAATATTTGTATTAACTGAGCTTGTTTAAGTGATGCTTCACCACACACAAAAAAAGTGTTTGATACATCACAGAATTTTTCATCAGATGTGAATTTTATAGCTTTTTGTTTTTTATTGGTATGCTACCTGTCAAGGACAATATACTCACGATTTTCCCTGACTTAATCTCTTTTTATCATTTTCAGGGTCAATGAAGACATGAAATTAACTGATTTAGAGCTAGAAAAACTGGCAAATAATATCCAGGAGTTATTATATAGTGCCTCAGATATATGCCATGATCGAGCTGTCAAATTTCTCATGTCAAGAGCAAAGGTTAGTTGTTTGATAAAGTTTTAGATACTTCATACATAGTATAATTATTATGAAGATCTAGAATCATATACTTGCTTATATCCCTATGTTCCCCATAATGCATATATTTTTAATACTTAATAAGGTTAGTGGTACTGATGTGGCCTATTAGGAAGATGTTGAAATGTAAAATAATCCAAATAAAAGAAATAGGAAAATTTATTATTCTTTAAAAAAATGATTGAAAGAATAATTTTGAGATTTAATGCCTTAATAATTAATTTGAAGTTAATATGCTATTTCATATGTATATGTATACATATATGTGTATATAATTAGCCACCATATTAATAAAAATAGTTGAAATCCAAGAGTATGAAAATTTTATAGTATGACCTGAATTTATTTGAGCTACTATAATATAAAGGGGTCAGTGTAAAATTTAGACATTTTAAGCTTTTTATGTTCAATTCCTGGGACTGAAGTATTGAGAAACTTCATTAAAAATGATTTTAAGGTGAGGGCGCCTGGGTGGCTCAGTTGTTAAGTGGCTGCCTTTGGCTCAGCTCATGATCCCAGGGTCCTGGGATTGAGCCCTGCGTCAGGCTCCCTGCTCAGTGGGAAGCCTGCTTCTCTCTCTCCCTCTGCCTGCTGCTTCCCCTTCTTGTGCTCTCTCTGTCAAATAAATAAATAAAATCTTTAAAAAAAATGATTTTAAGGTGATATTTATGAATTAATATATATTATTAAAATAATATAATTAACATATGTTAAATGAGGTTGGTTTTATAGATTATTTGTATTTGGTGTTACATCTAATTCTCTGTCATGATTTTTGTGTTATCTTTAAAATTTAGGATGGTTTTCTTGAGAAGCTAAATTCCACGGAATTCATAACACTTTCTAGATTAATGGAAACATTCATTTTAGATACTGAACACATCTGTGGGAGAAAAAGTATGTCATTACTTGGAGCACTTCAGAGCCAAGCTAATAAATTTGTAAACAGGTTTCATGAAGAGAGGAAAACTAAGCTCAGGTATCATTACCATGTTCATTTCTGTTCTTTAGTTTTTTCCCCTTTTTTTTTTTACAAAACATGATTATATTTAATTGATTAGCTCACCAGAACCCCGGAAAAACTTTTTTCTTTTTCGTTAAAGGCAGATTGTGGAATTAAAATCAGTTTCTTGGCTTTTCAAAGTGGAGTTAGAATATTTATTTTCATTAAAGTACTTATCAGGAAGATCCTCAATAGATTGGCTTTTCCTTTTCCACTCAACATGAGGTTAATTAATGTTTCACTACTCTTCTTGGTTAGGCTAAGAAATACAAAAAGAAAAATATTTTCTGGAAGTACTCATACCGAATTATTATTAAATTACGAAGGATTTCAATTTATTAAGGTGTACATTTATTTTAAAAATCTTAGTACTAACAACAGCTAGTGGCCATTACTGTGTAAAAAGACAATGCCTTGTATTACATGAGGTCTACTTGAATTTAACTAAGATACATGTAGTGTCTTTATTATTACTAAAAGATGACAAGAAAAGTCTTACATACTCACTCAGCTCTTCCTTTTCTTTTCAACCAAAGAAGATGGTGTTGAAATATTGTTAAAGCTTATCTTCCCTTTTTCCCTCCCTTTTGAATAGCCTCCTCTTAGATAATGAGCGCTGGAAGCAAGCTGATGTTCCTGCAGAATTTCAGGATCTTGTTGATTCTATATCAGATGGAAAGATTGCTTTACCTGAAAAAAAATCAGGGGGTATGTGTATTCTTTCACATACTTTCTTCCGGTTTTATACTGTTTATTCATTTTATAGGAATGCTTAACATTTCTTTAATTGACAATGCCTCTTGAAAAGCCTAGAACTAAAAAAAAAAAAAAAAAAAAAAAAATGCCAGCTTAGTTAGTAAGTAATTGACTGGAAAAGTTATCTGTGGTAATTTGTAATAATTTCAGATATTTATTGAAGGTTAACTATATGCCACATACTGGGTCAGGTGCTTTTACATGCATTATTCCAGTTTATCTGCACAACAATTTATGATGAAGATGCTATTGTTAACCTTGTTTTAACAGTGAAGAGGCATAAAACTTCCAAGGATTAAGGAATTTTGTACAAATGATGAGCTGAGATTTGAAACTGGCTTTATATAATTTCATGGCTTTGTTCACTGTACCATGTTGTTTAAAGACATGTATTCATTTACTGAACACTAGTAAGCTTCTACTATGTGTCAGATATTGAGACAGAGATAACAGTTATAATACTCCTTTAAAAGGGCTAAGTCTAATAAAAAAAATGGATTAGCAATCACAAGTAATGCAGTAGTGATATGATAGAGAAAACCAAAATGTGAAGAACTCTAGAAAAAGAAGACTATAAAGGAGACTCAGAAGGAAGTGCCAGAGAGGTAGGAGGAAATCCAGAAGAACATAGAAGTAAAAAAATTAGTTTCAAGAAGAGAATTGTTACTGGTATCAAATATGTCTTGGGTTTCATATGAAAGAAATGCAGTGGCTGGAAGATACTTTTGTATGCCAGTTAAATTGGAGCTGTCATGTGATAATAAGGTAAACTTACGTACAACTTACCCTGTAAAACCAGATTTGAAATTATAAGATTGTCAAATCATTTTTTGAAAGTTTTTTATTTTAAGGAGACTCCATGCCCAACATGGGGCTTGAACTCATGACCCTGAGATCAAGAGGCACATGCTCTACTGACTGAGCCAGCCAGGCTCCCCGATTATCAAATATTTTTAATGGAGGAGGCAGATGCATTTTCAAATTTTATGCATTTAATAAAAGTTTAAAATTTTTACATAGAAATATTTTTAAATTGTGTATTTCATATTTACACAAAATGCAACTGCACTACAAGGGAAAGACTGAGTAAAATTCAAATAGTGACCACTAGTTTGACATGTAGGAGATTATTTGCAATCCTAGTAATTCAGCAGAGTGACAGAGTCATATTATAGTTTAGTACTAAGTAACTTGAAAGATGAGGACTGGTAAACAAATGTAGCCTCCTTTTTCGACAAGTTTGGTTGTGAAGGGAAAGTGAGTGATGAAGTAGCACTAGAAACCTAAGAGAATAATTAGATTATTACTTTAATCCACTCAAGGAATTGAGAGAAAGTTTTAAGGTAGGAGAAACTGAATTATGTTTTTATGTTTAACAGAAAGAGGAAAAAGATTAAAGAGAGGAGTGACATGGACTGATTGTGAGGCAGGGCCCCTGGAATTAAGTCCAGAGTTGAGATGAAGGGCTATCTCTTCTAACACGGTGACAAGAGAGGAGGGGTTAAGGACAGGTGTGAAATAGATGAATTCATATAGGGCAGAGAGAAGAATTGAATGAATTAAGTAGATTTCTGTTGCCTTGTGACCATTTTTTAGTAGGTGACAGTGTTGGGTGGTGGTCACAATCTTTTGATTGATTATATTAGCAAAGCAAAAGTATTTAAGTAGCAAAGATTGAAAGAAAAATAAAACTGATTATTTTAAATCACAAGTTTAAAATTATTAAGATTTATTTCTCATTTACTCTTTCAGGCTATATTTGATGACTTCCCACTTTGTGAGGTGCTGTGCTAGATGATTATGACATGTTTTCTGTCCCTGAACAGCTCAGAGTCTTATAATCCACTGTCATGCAAACATAACAATTTTTTAATTAAAATGATAAATATAGAGTGATTGAATTAACTGTTTTTTGTTTGTTTTTGTTTTTGCAAAGTGAACTATTTTCACTTTCTTTTTGGAGGATACTGACAATAAGAGGTTTCTTTTATACACCCTACTTCTGTCCCAGTCTTTTTTTTTTTCCCCTCTGAGTGAGAAGAAAGTACATGCTATTAGAAGTCCATTAACATTTTACTAGTTCTTACCAAGTTAAGGATCTTTGGTTATTATTCATGCATCCACCATCCATTAATGAGTTACTAGCTGCTTGGCTAGGCATGGGGAAATGACGGTTAATGGATAGCAATTAGTATTAATTGAATGCTTACTTGATGATGGATAGTTTGTTCTAAGCACTTTACATTGTTACCCCATTTATAGGGCCATGAACTAGATACCGTTAGTATTCCTATTTAACAAATACGGAAACTGAGACACAAAAAGATTAGGCAATTTGCCTGAGGTTACAGAGCTAGGAAGTGGTAGAGGGGAGCTCCAAATTCAGGCAGACTGACTTTAGGATCCTTTCTCTACACTACTATTCTCTGCTGATTCTCTCTGTGATGTGGAGAACTGATTAAGACACAATCCCTGTCCTCAAAAATTTAATCTGACATGCAGAATGAGTTGTGTTTAGAAATTGTATCACACTGAATTTCTTTCCTTGATAGAAATGAGGAAGTAGTCTGGTGATGGGTATTAAAGAGGGCACGTACTGCATGGAGCACTGGGTGTTATACGCAAACAATGAATCATGGAACGCTACATCAAAAACTAATGATGTAATGTATGGTGATTAAGATAACAAATAAATAAATAAATAAGAAATGAAGTAGATATTTAATGTCAAGGCAAAGGGACTTGAAGCTTAAGGAAGCATGATGACTTGCCCATGATAATCTAATTGATTTAGATGATTCAGGACAGTAATCCAGTCTACTGTTCTTTTTACTTCAGCATGCTGAATTTTCTTTTATAATGATAAATACACATGCTGAAAATAAAATAATTTCTGGATTAAAATCTTGAAAATTAAAAATATATTATGTATAGGGGCGCCTGGGTGGCTCAGTCGGTTAAGCGTCGGCCTTCAGCTGAGGTCATGATCCCAGGATCCCTGCTCAGTGGGGAGCCTGCTTCTTCCTCTGCCTGACGCTCTGCCTACTTGTGCTCTCTCTGTCAAATAAATAATAAAATCTTTAAAAAATATATATATATAATGTATAAATGTAAAATATATAATCTCTCCATTGAATATAGGAATTAGCTTGTATTCTAGGAATTATCATAATCACCACCAGTTGAAATTCTAGTTCTGCCTTTCCAAACTAATATTTTTTTCCTTTACTACTAACTGATCACCTACCATGTGCCAGACCTAGGATAGGCAGTTTGTAGTCATGATCTCTGTCATTAACAACAACACTGAGGTGATAGATACTGGAACTCAAATCCAAATTTCTGACTCCAAACCCAGTATACTTCATTCTGTTCCAAATTGCTTCCCAAGAAGTAGATCTTTGTTTTCAGAAATAAGGTAGTTTCAGGCCCTACCAGGACCTAAATTGGGCCCTAAAATCTTTTTCAGTTTTTTCCTAGTTTAAATTTTTTCCTCTAATAATTTGTTTCATCTTGTTCCTATGTCTCTCTTGGTTATCTGCTTTACTCTCTAGCTACGGAAGAAAGGAAACCAGCTGAAGTTCTTATTGTCGAGGGACAACAGTATGCTGTCGTTGGGTGAGTGACACATTTTTCTTTATTAGTTGAGTCAGTTATTTAAGCCAGAGGTCTCCTAGTTCCCCCTTGATAGGACTTGGAAATTTTAGATTAACGATTTTAAATCTTACAAATAATTATGATTTCTTTCCTTAACTACCCTTTATCTTGTTATTCTTGCTTGATGGCATTAGTCACCCTCTGGCTATCTGGCTTTCTGGTTTTCTGGCTCTTCAGGCAAAAGACCACTCCCAAAAAACTCAACTCCCTGGCTAAGAGGAGAATATTTTATCTTCTGAGAGAAGATTACAAAAGATAAACAGTGAGCCACTACCCAGTAAAGCAGACACTAGACGTATGCATGGACCATAACATATGGTCTGACAATTAAGCTGTTACAGAGGCTAGACACTTACTTTCTTGAATCACTACTTCCTGATATCCTGCAGACTTTTACAAAACATTATTTTACATGAATCACTCATTTCTGAGCATCTCATTGAACTTGGATGTCCCATAATGAATGGCTTTATTCACCTTAATCTCAGTCTTATTTAACCTCCCAGTAGTGTTTCTTTTCAATTTATGACATGTTCAGCTAATGAGCTGGTAACTTTCTCATCGTAGGAGAACCTTGTGACTTACCAAAAAACTTTTTAGGAGATACCATTGTTCTTTAAAGCCACAGTTTCTCTTTCATCTCACTAAGAAAATCAAGACTAGGTTCCCGTCATTAATTCAACAGTTACGATTGAGCACCTACTATATAATCAGAAACACTGGGGAGGCTTTTTGTCAGTGTTTTTGAATTGGCTAAGGAATGGGATACCTGCCTTATATATATATTTTTTAGGGAGGGAGGGGCAGAAAGGGAGGGAGAGAGAGAATCCCAAGCAGACTCCACACCCCAGGATACCTGCTTAATAGCAGTGTCACACAGAGAGTGATATGCCAAAGCACAAAACTTAAGGAAATACTCTTTCTCAGTGCCATGCAAGTGCTGATCCTGTAGTTGCATGACCCTGAAAATGAGTGCCTCCTTCATTTTGCACCTGAGGAATCTGTCTTGCCTCACCTTAGTCCCTACTCTGCTGCATTTACAGGTAAAACACATAATTTCACAGTTACCAAGATCAGTTTCTTGTCTTGACTTCTTGTTGGGTCATCTTTTCTTACAGAACTGTATTGCTGTTGATAAGAATTATCCTTGAATATTGCCAGTGTGTGGACAATATCCCATCTGTTACTACTGACATGCTTACTCGTCTGTCAGATTTATTGAAGGTGTGTATGATTTCACTCTGTGATGGAAAAATAGTTGAAAGAAGTAATTCATTAGGGTATGACTAATCTTCAAACTAAGACATTTCAAGGTTAAGTTACCTTTAAGACATTAATTTTGTGACATTTGATTGTGGTTGAATCACAACGTGTTACTGGAAGAAGGCCACCTGCTTCCTTCTCACTTTTAGTGATTCCTCATTATACCCATAGAGTTGTTAATGACATTGGAGACAGGAGATGATTTGTTCGTTAGGTGCTGAACATGACTGAGGCCACTTAGGTCAAAAAACCTGGACTGGTTTCAAATGTGCATGGAAGGAATTCACTGAACTTTACAAAATTCATCTCACTAAGGTTAGAGATTTTTCTTAAATCATTCTTTCAGAACCATTGATGTAAAATGAAAATGTGGTGATAATCTTATTCAGCCATTTCATTTTAACAGATATTTTTAACTGCTAGCATAAAGGCTCCAAATGTCTAATCAGTTAATTCTGCTCCCAAATGGAGTTGTCATATTTTAGTCCAGAAAGATTTTGTTACCCTTTTGACAATAGAACCCTCCAGTAAGAATGACTGAAACTGAACTAGTTTTTTTAATTTAAGTGTAATTAACATATAGTGTATTGTTAGTTTCAGTGAAACTGAACTAGTTTTATGAATGCAGATTAAAGATTAGTTTCTGAACAATTGTTTTTTAGAATTTTACTTTTTTCCTAGCAGACAATAAATATTAACATCATCCTTCCCCTTTTTTTGCCATTACATAAATAGATCCTAATTGCTCCTACTAGAAAATTCATTTGGTCCTTGAATGAGAGGAAAGAGGAGTGTATTTTTAGAACTGTAGACACATGGCCAGCATATATAAAATAGTTTTTAATAAATTGTTGGGCTTTTTTTTCTCCTTCCTTTGTTAGTACTTCAATTCAAGAAGTTGCCAGTTAGTTCTTGGAGCTGGTGCACTGCAAGTTGTTGGACTAAAAACAATAACTACAAAAAATTTGGGTATGGATTCTTGATTTTAATTCACATGCTGAGGTTTTACAGTGAGGTCGCCATACTTATGTTTTCATTATACCTGATATTTTTATGACTCTAATTAAAGGCTCTAAAAGTAGCAAATGCTGCTTCACTCTTCTGTGTATTACCATAACTGAAAAATTAACTTCTGGGGAAATGTTACGAAGAATTTCCACCCTAACATATATAAGTTATTTGGAAGTTGCACCACTATAGAAAATGTTAAGATGTAATACGTATGAGGTATCTGAATGTTAGAAGAGAATCAGTTGTCCCATTAGCTTCCTCAGGTTAGTAATACTAACAACTTGAGTTCATTGGGAAGAGCAGCATGTTCACTACATTATTCATTACCGAGTCAGTTTTTTTTAAAGATTTTTATTTATTTGAGAGACAGCACGCAAGCGGGAAGGGGCAGAGGGGGAGAGAGAGAGAAAGAATCTGAAGTAGACTGCACTGGGCACGGAGCCCAATGTGGGGCTCAGTCCCATGTCCATGAGATCATGACCTGAGCCAAAACCAAGTCAGATGCCCAACTGACTGAGCCACCCAGGCACTCCCCAAATCATTTTCTTAAACGAAGTGAAATAATGTTGATTTCTGCCAGTGTGTTCTTCATTGATGAAACAAACTGTATGAAACTAATTGACATTTTTTATTTAATTTGATATTTAATTAAATGCAACTAATAGTGTTTTTTGTTCTTCAGCTCTTTCTTCACGTTGTTTGCAGTTAATTGTGCACTACATTCCTGTGATCAGGGCTCATTTTGAAGCTCGACTGCAGCCTAAGCAATATAGCATGCTTAGGCATTTTGATCATATCACTAAGGTACTTTTCCTTATATTTCCTACTAGAGTTTCATAATTGTTAAGTATTTTTTAGGTGTGTCCCAGGGACTTTAAAATATAATGTTCTTTCTCGTTACAGGACTACCATGACCACATAGCTGAAATATCAGCTAAGCTTGTAGCGATAATGGATAGCTTATTTGACAAGTTGTTATCTAAGGTAATGATTTATGGAAATTATTAGGCATTGTTTAAAGGCATTGTGCCTTTTCACAGTTGTCTAACCAGTCAAATTCTTCAGGGTTTAGAAAAACTCAGTAAAATGTTCAGATTGCCCAAATAATGGATAATTATATCCAAAGAGGCTGGAAGGGGGCAGGAGGGAGGTTATTTTAAGAATGATAGAAACCCTATGCAGAAGTAATTTTATATTAGCTGCATTGACAAATATGTGCCTTCTTCAAACTAGGTTTTAGTCTGAAAGTCATCCAGAGACAGAATTGAGAGAACAAAGATCAAAATAGAGAAAAAAGTAGATAAATTATTTGTGGTAAGATACGTTCTTTATTTTCCAGACTGAAATGGCAGAGTCTGAGGTGCTCTATTATTTCCCGTATAGATAATCAATTTCAGTATCTGTTTCTTGTTTGCTTCCCATTCCGAATGGGTCATTAAAAGAAGCAATGGTTTCCAGTGAATCCTCTATTATACTGGAGGGTATCTTTAGAAAAATGTCACTTAACCAGGCCTAGTCACTTTTGCCCTCTTACTTTTTTCATTCCCTAAGTTCAACACCTGTCTTAGGGAGAAAGCAGACATTGGAATTTTGAAGGCTATATGTACATGCCTGAGAGTATATTTAGGGTAATCATCAAACTAGGCACTTTGGTATGCTTTTCTGCCACTTGCATTCTTCAGGATTCTGAGATGGCAGGAGCAGCAAGCACGTGAAAATCATAAAAGTGCAAGGTAAAGCAGTGCCCATTCACAGGTATAGATGTGTGCTTGTACATTTGAAGGTGACAATGAGGGAAAGTCCTTGGAAAATAAGATTGCATTTGTTTAATAGTTCTCAAATGTTTTGGTCAGAGGACCTCTTTACACTCTTAAAAATAATCGCAGACCCCAAAGAACTTTTATTTATGCAAATTGTACCTATCAGTAAGTACCATATTAGAAATTAAAACTAAGAGAAATTTAAAACACAAGAGTACACAAACACACATTCCATTGGCTGTCAGAACGATGACATTGTTCCAAGTCATCTAAAAATCCCCACTCTTCAAACATGAGAAAATGAGAGTGAAAAGTTAATAACATTTTAATATTATTATGAAAATGGTTTTTACTTCACAGATTCCCACAAAGAGTCTCTGACTCCCAGGTGTCCCCAGACCACACTTTGAGAATGTCGGGTGTAGTTGATAAATAACATAGATATTTTATGCCCTTAAGAAGCTTAAGGAATTTATAGGTATGTGCAGACATACCTATATTATGCTGTACCTGTTAAATTAGTTTCTAGTTTTGTATGGAGAAAAATGATTGTTTAGGAATTCTCTGTTTTCTTTATGGTTGCCAAGTACAAACTAATACTAAACTTTAGTATTTAGTACAAATACTAAATTGAAAAGCTTTAGTATTTAGTACAAATACTAAATTGAAAAGCATACTGTTTCATCAGTTTTCCTTTTTGATACATGGCATTCTTCTGTCTACCAAAAGTTAATAAATAACATACTGTGACTACTCTAAAGAAGTTTACCATCTATTACAGGAGGGGAGGTGGGTGGGGGATGGGTTAAATGGGTGATGGGGATTAGGAGGGCACTTGTTGTGATGAGCACCGGGTGTTGTATGTAAGTGATAAATCACTAAATTCTACACCTAAGAGGCTAAGAGGTATGTAAACTAATGGAATTTAAATAAATATTTGGAGAAAATTAATTAATTTTTTAAGAAAATAAGTTTACCATCTAACAAGGCAGAGGACTGTAAACACCTAACAGTGTAGAATAAGGTAAATGTTAAATAGTGGAACTGGTAATAAGCTGTGGAATATAATGAAGCAAAACCAAAGTAGTGCCAGTACTCTTAAATCCCTGATTTATTCTGTGTTTTTGTTTTGTTTTGTTTGTTTGTTTTACCAAAAATTGGGACTGTGGCTAGGCTTTTTCCTGTAACAGTTTATTTTATTCTTTTTTTTGGTAAAGAAAAAGAGAATTATTTAATGAGCTTTCCATATATTTATCACCTATATATAACAGTCACATTTTGCTTTTTTTTGCTAAACTATTTAAAAAAATTTTTTTTTAAAGATTTATTTATTTTAGAAAGAGAGCACGAGCAGGGCAGGGTGGAGAGGGGCAGAGGGAGAGAATCTCAAGCAGACTCTCCCCTCTGTGCACGGAGCTGGATGCAGGGCTCGATCTCACAACCCCGAGATCATGACCTGAGCCAAAATCCCCAAGAGTTGAATGCCTAGCCTACTGAGCCACCCTGGCACCCCATAAAATATTTTATAATAAATGCGAGGCATTATGATATTTCATCCCTGAATAATTCAGTTATGTATTTCTAAAAACTGACAACTTTCTTATATATTCATGCTACCATATCACACCTAACAAAATTAACAATAATTCCTTAATATCATCTAATATTTATTCCTATTTAAAATTTATCAATTGTCCCAAAATGTTTTTTTCAATAACTTGTTTGAACAAAGATTTCTACATGGTTTACATACTGCATTTAGTTATTATATGTCTTAAGTCTTTTATAAACCTTAAATATCCTCCTCCCCATTATTTTTAATTCAAGAATGTGCCTAGTCTTTTGCAACTTAGTATTTTCACTACTATATTTCTACTGATGACTTCCCCTGTTACCTTGACCTATTACATTCTCTCGTTTAACAAGTCTCTGTTTGCCACTCTCTGCCCTAGTTGCCTTCATGGGTTGCCCAGGACTTTAGCTCTGTTTTTAATTCATGCCAAGATAGCAGACAGTGTTTGGTTTGGGTTAGCCTCTTAATTTTAGCTTTTTATTTTCTAATCTGAAAATTTAATTTGGAGAAAGAAGGATAACAGTAATATAGACTGATTCTAAAAAGCTAGTAAGTAATGGTACCATTGCTTAGAAAGAATAAAACGTTAACATCTAATTATACTACTATACTCAACTAATGTCCCAGCCATCATTTATTCATTCATTTATTCATTCATTCAGGAAGTTAAATTGTGTTAGGTAACTGGGCTACATAGGGTGAAGAAGTCTTTAGTGTTGTCCCTCAAATAGTTGAATATCTAATAAGAAAAATATATCGATAATTATAACAGAAGGTAGAATATGTAAAGAGCCATAAGTAAGGAATCAATTTCATGCAATTAGAGCTTTTAATGCTTTGGAAGAGTGGGTTCCCAGCTAAGGAGGGAGATCTGGGAAAAACTTTATGGATGAGGCATGCATGTAAGTTTTGCTTTTAAAGATAGGCATGGTTAGGGCAAATGAAGTTGAGATGAAGAGACGCTCTGAGGTAACAGCATGTAGGTAGGAATCATAGGAGGAGGATTAGTGTCAGGGTTTTGTAGTCAGGTAGACCTAAGTTCATGTTTGTCCCAGATTAGCCATTTGAAGCCCCTTGGGCAAATCTCCTTAAGCCTTAGTTTGTCTTTAAATGGGGAAAATAATAGAGCCTTGTAAGTTTGTAGTGAGGATTAATGAGATAATATTTATGTGGAGTGGTTTTCTTTTATCATATGTCTGACCATAGCAAGTTTCCAGTAAATGTTGACTGCTAATGTTTTTGCTGTTGTTGTTAATAACAACAAAGGTAAATTATTCCATTTAGCTAATGTATTAGGGTGGGTGAACTGAGGAATGGAAGATATGCTGGAAAGACAGTGAAGAGTTTTCACTACTAGTGGAAAGCTAACCAATTTAAGTTAGGCTTATGAGGTATAACTTACACTCAGTAAAATTTACCCTTTCTAAATACATAGTTTGATAACTTTAACATATGCGGTAGTAGAACTACCACAATCAAGATACATAACAGTTCTGTCACTGTTAAACATTCTCTCAGGCACTTTCGCAGTCAGTTTTCTCCCCACATCCAAAACCTTGACAGCCACTGGTCTGATTTTCATCTGTGTAGTCTTGCCTTTTCCAGAATGTCCTTTAACTGGAATTATGCAGAATGTAGTCTCTTGTCCCAGGCTCCTTTCATTTAGCATAATGCTTTTGAAATTGATAGTATGTGTTAGTGGTTTGTTCCTTTTTATTATAGAGTAGTATCCATTGTATGGATGTATCACTATTTGTTTATTCATCCATTTATCAGTGGATAGACCTTTGGATTGTCTCCAGGCTTTGGCTATTATGAATAATGCTGCTATAAACATTCACGTGCACATCTATCTGTGGGTACATGTTCCATTTCTCTTGTGTAAATACCTTGGAATAGATTGATGGTTATATAAGAAATGTAAAACTTTATGGTATCTTTATAAAAAACTGCCAAATTTTTTTCTAAAGTGAGTATACCATTTTTTTTTCCTACTTGTGATATATGAGAGTCCTAGGGGCTCTTCATCCTCACCAGCACTTTCTATTGTATGTCTGTTTTTTAATGTTAGTACTCTAGTAGGTCTGTATGGAGTGATATCTGATTGTGGTTTTAGTTTACATAATAATTTATATGTTGAGCATCTTTTCACATATTAGTTTCCACCCATGTCTTTTCTTTGGTAGCGTGTTCAGACTTTTTGCTAATTTTTAAAAATTGGGTTGTTGAGTTGTAAGAGTTCTCTATATATTCTAGATACAAGTCCTTTATCAAATACGTGTTTCCATAAGTATTTTCTCTCAGTCTGTCACTTTTCATTTTCTTAACAGTGTTATAGAAATAACAGTTTTTAAATTTTGATGAATTCCAGTTAGTCATTTTTTTTCTTTATTGTTCATGCTTCTTATGTCCTATCCCAAGAAACCTACGCAAGTTACAAAGATAATTCCCATTGTTTTCTTCTGAAAGGTTTATTGTTTCAGGTTTTATATGTATATCTGTGATCCATTTTTAGTTGATTTTTGTATATAGTACAAAGTATGAGTCAGTGTTCTTTTTTCTGGCTAGTTCCAGCACCTTTTGTTGAAAAGACTGTCCTTTCTCCATTGGCACCTTGAAAATTGGCTGTTTTCCTGTGGGTCTATTTTCAGACTCCTGTTCCATTGATCTATAAGTCTGTTTTACACCAATACCATGTCTTAATATCTTAACTACTGTAGCATTATTCTAAGTATTGGAATCAGGTAATGTGAGTCCTCGGATGTGAAGCCTTCTCAGTGTTCCCACCCCTCCTCCAGTGGTAGCCAGTCTCTCCTTTGATTGGTTTTTGATCCTTTGCTTAAAGGTATTTTTTGTTTCTGTTCCTCACAGCCCTGGGGATGAAAGAATTGAGTGCTCTTTGTCTGTGACTTTAGGTTTTGCTTCATATAAGAGGAGGGTGCAAGGAAGTGGGCAGCACTTGTTCCTTTTCTCTAGTGGTGGCCACTCGCCTCCTGCTTGTCTGAGAGTGATTCTGTGGTCTCTAGTTCTGACTCCAGTGTTGCTTGTGAGGACCTTTTGGAAACCCATGGAGGAGAACTTGTGCGTGCAAACTCCCCTTGTGGCCAGCGCTCTCATTTACTGTAAGCATATACTAGTCTGTATTTGGCCCTTTGGGCATTTGTTAAAATGTTAGTTGTTTTCTGTTTGTTTCTGTGGTGGTCACCTCTTCTTCCTATGCTCTGCCAAAGTGAGACAGTTCCCGTGTCCCATCTCTCCTCAGTGGGAGAGTTTGGAATTAGTTCCCTTGGTTCTTGGGACCTCTGTTCTCTGAAGGGTTCAAGAAAAGTTATGATTTTGTAAATTACTACAGTTTTTTGTTGTGGTGAGGGTGGTAGAATATTCTCTTACAGCTTTCTCAATTTTAAATGGAAGTAGAACCCAGAAGTTTTTAAACTAACCCATGATTAGAATTGCACTGTAGTAGGATTTATCAGATAGTGTGTAGAATAGATTTGAGGTGGTATGGCATGTCCTCTGTGTGGAATACTTTCACTTAATTTTTTTCATTTGAAGACTCAGCAGCCCAGGCGTGCTGCTCGGGAAGCCATCTCTGCTATTGCCTAAACGTCTTCACCCGTGTTCCTGGAGCACGCATGTCCACTTTCTGGAATACCAACCAGCTTTTAGGCTGTCAGCTTCCCAGAGCTCTCTGTCTCTGATTCATCTTTGTACACTCCAGCTAGCATAGTATCTGACACATTCCTTCAGTCATACACATTCATATACATACATACACACACTCATACACCTATATACCTATGTACATATATACACACGTAAGAAAATACGCGTCCAGAGCTTACTGTGTACCAGTTTTATTAAATGTTTATTGACCTCATATCATATCTGGACTTATTAAAATGTGACTGCGTTTTTTCAGGTGAGAAGTATTGAAGATCTCACCCACAGCAGTGTTTCTCACCTAAGACAGTTTTGTCCCCTGAGGACATTCAGAAGTGTTGGGAACATACAGTTTAGGAAGTGGGACAATACTGGTAGCTAGTGAGTAGAGGTCAAGAATGCTACTGAACATCCTATAATACACAGGATAGCCCTCACAACAAAGGATGAGATAGCCCAAAATGTTAGTAGTGTAGAGGTTGAGAAACTCTGACCTAGAATATTAATGTGCAAAATAATCTGAAAGTACATTTGATGGCACTTAGATTCAATACAAGGAACCGAAGAGGAGGAATAAACACTGAGTTGGAGATTTCCAGTCAGGGTGAGCAGGAGGATTGTAATACAAGCAATAGTAATGGAAACAGGAAGGAGAAGCAGGTTTAGGAAATTTCATGGTAAACTCAGTTATAGTATGGATCATTTAGGAGATGTGTGACTTAAATTTAACAACGTGGTTCAGGACTAGAGATATATTAGAAGTTGTTAGATCGAATGAGATTGATAAAAGCGAGCGAGGGGATGATAGGGGCATTAAGATTGAAAAAGCATTGCATTTAGGAGACAGGATACAGAAGAGGAAGATCAGGAGGGGAGGAATCAGGGAAGCACTGCGTTACATGAGGACTGAGGACCATGTTTCAAGTGTGAAGGTGTGTGAACACTGCAGAGCAATGAGTAGGGGGACTAGGAAAGTTACTAAATTTGGAAGTTAGGATGTCTTTAGTGATTTTTGCAGAAATTTCAGAAGATTGTTAATAGTGGAGGAAGGTGGTTTGGGTAGTGGCAAGAACCAAATTTTAAGGGTTGAGAATAAAGAAGTACAGTGTCAAGTTTCAGTGACTGAAGAAACGATGGTGAAGGTAAGATGGAAAGAATAGTATCTTTAGGGAAGGCAGGGGTGAAGGAAGGTTTTGGGGGTGTACTAGTTACCTAGAGCGGCCATAACAAATTATCAAAGACAGTAGCTTTAAAACCACAGAAATGTATTCTTTCATAATTCTGGAGGCAGAAGTCCTAAATCAAAGTGTTGTCAGCCATGCTCCCTCTGAAGGCTCTAGCAAAGTCTTTCCCTGCCTCTTCCTAGCTTCTGGTGCTTGCTGTCAATTGCTGGCATTCTTTGGCTTGTAGATGTATCATTCCGATTTCTGCCTCTGTCTTCACGTGGCCATTTTCCTTCTGTGTGTCTATGTCTAAATTTCCTTCTCCTTTCTTTTATAGAGACACCAGTCAGTGGATTTAGGGCCCACTCTAATCCGGTATGACCTTATAAGGTTCTAAGTGAACGTGAATTTTGGGGGGGATACTATTCAACCCAGTACACGTGGTATTTAAGATATGGGGATGTTACCATAATGAGATAACTATTTCATACCCACTAGCATTTCTAAATAAAAAAGACAGACAATAACAAGTGTTGGTTGAGGATATGGAAAAATTGGAACCCGCATACACTGCTGAGTAGGACTATAAAATGATATAGCTCCTTGGAAAAAATTTTGGCATTTTCTCAAAAGATTAAAGTTATCATATGACCCAGTAATTCCACTTCTAGATATACACCCAAAAGAATTGAGGACATTTGTCCACACAAAACCAGTACATGAATGTTCACAGCATTATTATTCATAATAGCCAAAAAGTGGAAATAACCCAATGTCCATCAGTTGATGATTGGATAAATTATAGTATCTTCGTACAATAGAATATCATGTGGCCCTAAAAAGGATGAAGTACTGATGCATGTTAACAACATAGATGAATCTTGAAAACATTATGCTAAGTGAAAGAAGCCAGTCACAAAAAGCCGCATATTGTATTATTACATTTATGGAGATTAGTGGTTGCCAGGAGCTGAGGGGAGGGGGGCATGGGGAGTGACTGCTATTGGTTATGGGTTTCTTTTGAGGTGATGAAAATGTTCAGAGGTAAATGGTGATGATTGTATAACAGTGAGTCTACTAAAAACCAGTTAATTGTACACTTTAAAAGGGTGAATTTTATGGTGTGTGAATCATATCTTAAATCTGTTATTAACAAAAAAGATAAGGGATGTCTTATATATTCCTAGGCTGAAGAAAGGTAAAACTTTAGGGGGTCACAACTTTGCTTATTTTGGACCCAGTCACCTGGTGACTTCTGCATCGTTCTGCTAAGAGCAGTATATTGGAACTCACCATTTTAATAAACTATATAAGATTAGTACATTAAATTATTTAGCCCAGATTTGTCTTATAAATAAAAATAGTACATAATTTGTGAATTATAAAATGTGGGCCAAAGATGGTCCTCTGAATGATACCAGTATATTATATTATTATATTACTATCCAAATGTAAGGATAGTAAAATGAATTTACCTAAGTTTAAATTTTCAGTATAGGTCATTGCTGAGTAAGTTTTCCTTTACCATAGTTAGGATAAATATGATTACTATATTGGCATACCTACAAAAGAAAAAGAAAATTTTAATTTTGCCAGAGTCCTATTGATTTGATATGATCATGTTGACACATTCTGAAAATCATGTTTAAAAAATAATCTGTTAATTTGGAGGGCCTACTTTAAAGATTCATCATTGTATATTGAGCCAGATGGGTAGCTAACATTTTTTGTGTACTTACTTTGTATCAAGCACTGTTTTGTGTTCTCATAAGCCATCTTTTTAAGTCCTCACAGCAAGTCCTTTGAGATACAGAGAAATGAAGTAACTTGCCCAGTGTCACATAGCTAAGAATCTGAAGAGCTGGGATTTGAACCCAAAAAGTCTATCTTAAGGGAAGCAGCCTCTGTTCTTAGCCACTAAATTTTGCTGGCTTTCTCAAAGTAGATTAGGATATTTAATGAAAAGTTCTTGAGATTTGCATGAGTAAGCACAGATCATAGAAGTGTAAGCTTCAACTCTATCAGAATTAGGCATGTAAGGGCTGAAAATATATGTCTGAGGAAACAGTGCGGATAATAAACAATCCAGAGGACATGAACATAATTCTCATTATTTTTCCCTGCCAGTATGAGGTGAAAGCTCCCGTTCCTTCTGCCTGTTTCAGGAATATTTGTAAGCAAATGGCAAAAATGCATGAAGCTATATTTGATCTTCTTCCAGAAGAACAAACACAAGTGAGTAGTAATTCCTAACACTGCTTTTTTATATATAACATATGCATGCAGAATTGGAGTGTTTTTACATACTTTTGGTACAGTTAAGCCTAGTTCATACTCCAATTGGGGCGCCTGGGTGGCTCAGTTGTTAAGAGGCTGCCTTCGGCTCAGGTCATGATCCCAGGGTCCTGGGATCGAGCTCTGTATCGGGCTCCCTGCTCTGCAGGAAGCCTGCTTCTCCCTCTCCCACTCCCCCTGCTTGTGTTCCCTCTCTCGCTGTGTCTCTATCTAATAAATAAATAAAATCTTTCCAATATGATTATTATTTTTTTCAGCTGTTATATTGACCTGTGGAACATGGATAAAAATTTCTGATTTCAAAAGGCCCCTAGCTCCAACAGGCCAGAGCAGTAATTGCTCTGCTGTATGTTAGCAATTATAAAAAGCAGATTTTTCATTGGTCCATTGAGTATCAGAGATGCCAGATTCTACCTACATCGTTCATTACATTATCAGTTTGAAAATCAGAGTTGCCATCTATCAACAGTAAAATATGTTGCTGTTATGATAACCCAAATGGGATAGTGGAGGAATTAGTGATGGAATTAATGAGATGACACATAAAGTAACTCAATCAATATACCTGATTAATATTTGTTAGATCAGCATAAGTGATCGGTAGTAGGCATAAACCAGGGAAATAGCAAAATGGGTAGTCTTTGGCACCTCTCACCTATGAAGTATCCTCCCTTTGTCCTGACCGTCTTCCCCTATATGAGTGTTACCACAGAGTTCTCTGCACTGTTCACCGACTCTCCTACCCACCCCCCACTTGCTCGGTTCCCCTTTCCTGGTACTTTAAAGATTCCAGGATTTCTTTTTTTTCCAATCTTCTTTACCCACCTTAGCTTGTTCCCTCTATACCAGGTTATCTCATTCAAGCCTAATTGTAGAATGACAGTGTTAGAATAGGATTTTTGTTCTTCAGACAAGTTTGTTATTTGAGTTTGCCTCTAATTGGTTAAGTACATGGAAGTGGTATTTGGGAGCAAAAGGTAGCTTTCTTAGTGTCTCTTGCCTACTCTTTCTCCTGCTGGTCTGCTTTCCCATACCACCTCAGACTTCCATCCTACAGTAGCTCTTACTATTTTTCTTCATGCTTCCCTGGGTTTTCATTAATCATTCTGAACTCAGGATTCATCCAACTCCTTTGAGGCTCACTGAGAATTGAGGAGCTATAAGAGAGGGAGCACCCACTGGGTCTCTTTTTTCTTCCCCATTTCTTCCTAGTCAAGCCATCCTTCTCATTGCAAGTGTAAGATCTCCCACCTCTGACATTCTGACCTTCTGGATTTGTCATCTGAGTTCTAATTATGGCCAGGTCAGGGAGCTGGGCATACAGGTAGTCCATGTGTTTTTATCTGCATCATAATTTAAAGGAACTCTTGTCAAAGCTGGGCAAGAATTAGATTTTATGTCAGTGTTGTCAGTTGAATACTAGTAATTCCATAAAACTTCCATGGATGACTTTATATATATTTTTCCCCATAGAAAATACATGTTATTTCACAAAATCGTTTCCAAAGATTAACTATAAACAGCTTCAGGTCAGGTATTTCCCACAGAAGTTTTGGGCCATTGCATCAAATACCTGAATGCAGGAGCAATAAAATACTTTCTAGTCGTTTTACCAGTTTAGAAGGATGAAAGTATCTTTGCCTCTACCATTGTGACTTTTTTTTTCCCTATCAAGTTCATATTTAATATATTGCAGAATTCATTTCTTTTTGCCTGTCATGGTCGATCCCCCCTTATATATCCCAGAGGACTTCTAAGGGGCAGAAAGGCAGTAATAAATCATATCACTAAAAGAAGTACTGCTGATAAGGGGCAAAAGAGCTTTTATCCAAAAATGTAGAAAAATTATACTAAAATAGCAACTAAATACCTCAGGGGAGCTTCTTAAAAGTATATGCCAAAGCAAAGATTTTTTAAAAGTATTTTCTCCAAATAATATTGATTTGATACTGATAACTCAGATGCTTATGTCTTGTTTCAGTAGAGCTTTAAGAAACCATTTTATTTCTTTTCCAGATGTTATTTTTAAGAATTAATGCAAGTTATAAACTCCACTTGAAAAAGCAGTTATCTCATTTAAATGTGATAAATGATGGAGGACCTCAAAATGGGTATGTTTTCAACATATTTTTACTATGTGCTCCCATATTGGATTGCTTGATTGGTTTTTACTCATTATGCTGTCCTTCTCCACTATAATCATATCGGACCACTACAGTGGTAAAATCAGCAACTTTTTGCCTTTTTTTCTCTCTGGAGAGGATATCTGTATCTGCCTGTCTGTCTGTCTACATTAAAGTGTTTTATAAATGGTCAATTACTTAACTCACATGTCTGTTTTGAGGCAGCGTGGGTCAATAGCACCTCCTTATGTTACCCAGTAGTCTCTCCCTATGCAGACAGGACTCAGAGTCCTACTTTGTAGCTGTGTGACCATGAGAAAGTCCACTTAATTCTGCCTTATTTATAAAATGAGGATAAAATGTGCTTTAACTCTTTAATAGGGTCACAAAAAATACAGTATAAATATATATGTCCATTTTATTGTAAACTGTTGAACAAATTATATGTATTATCGGTGAGATAGTGTAATTATATAAAACAGAATTTAGAATCAGAAAACTTGGGTTAAGTTCTGCTGCTTACTAGCTGTGTGACTTTAGGTAAATCACTTACTCTCTCTGTGCTTTTATTTTCTTAGATTTGAAAATAGGGATGATGATAAAAAGTACTATCACAAGATTTTTGTGAGGAGCAACACAGATAAAGATACGGGGAAAAGATTATACAAAACGCAAAAGCATTGATCATGAAACTACACCTTAATATGATTTCCTTAGTGTTAGCTATTGCATGGATTTTTAAGGAATATTTTATTCCCTGTTAAGTTTCGGGCTTAAATTTTCAAATTTACAGGAACAAGTGACAAAATATATTTTGGAGTCAGAAATTGGCCCTGTCCAATAAAACAAGTACACTGATTTTGCAAGAAATATTTGGAAGCTCCAGACTGCTGAATCTGTTGGCCATGCTGAATTTTTTGATGCAAAAATCTGATCTCTCCCTTATTACCTGGTTCTTCTCTTTCTTATTTTTAACGATTGTTATTTTCAAAAATTTCAGAGCCACAGAAAAGTTCAAGGACAGTTTATGAACACCAAAACCTCTCAGAAACTGTTTTTAAAAAACTAGCATTTTTAAGCCCCATTCCCCTCATAACCTTCTACTTTTATTCCCATAGCTAAATCTGGGTTGGTTGGTTGGTTGGTTCTGACCAGTACTTCTGAAGCATCCAAGCTAACTCATTACCTATTACTTTCTTTGTTAATATAGCTATATGGGGGTTGTACCACCTTAGAGATCTTCACTGTCACATACTTTTAAAGACACTAAATTCTATGTAAGTCAATTCATGCCTCTGAGTGATCCCTTGAAAAATGGAATTCCCTGAAAATTAACCTCTAGACTCTAGCCAAAGATATAGCAAACTACCTGCTTAAAAGAAATTTTTGTTCCTGAGATGGCTCTAAAAATGTACTTTTTTTTTTCAAGAATGAAATTGACATAACATGAAATTAACCATTGTACAGTTAACAATGCAGTAGCATTTTGTGCATTCACAAGTGCATTCTAGTTCCAGTTTGTCCAGGTCATAAAATAGGATCAACACTTAAAACCCAAGAGGAAATCCTCTACCCATTAAGCATTAAGTTACTTCCTATCCCTCCTTCTCCCCAAACCCTGTGTTTTCTGATGAGATTTTATCTAAGACATTTTTAAAATACAGACCTATAGAGAATAATATTTGTATTGCTGCTTAGAATTGATCATTAACATTTATTTTTGCTTGAAAAAAATGTTTATGTTAAAAAAGAAAACAAGGGGCACCTGGGTGGCTCAGTTAAGCATCTGCCTTCCGCTAAGGTTGTGATCCCAGGGTCCTGGGATTGAGTCCCGCATTGGGCTCCCTGATGAGCGAGTAGTCTGCTTCTCCGTGTCCTTCTCCCTTTGCCCCTCTCTCCTGCTCATGCTCTCTCTCAAATAAAATCTAAAAAAAACCCAAAAACCAAAAACCATTCCAAATGAAACTGAAGTATCCCTTGACCCCATCTCCAGTCCCATTCTCTTTCCCCCAACCCATAGTATTTTTAATAAATTTGACCTGTATTCTTTAAGTCCTTCACATTATCTTTGTATCTTAAGAAAAGTAGGTAGCACTGTTTTATAAAATTTAATTTACTTGTATATTGTACATATGCTGCTTACTTTTTCCTACTCAGCATTGTAACTGGTTTATCTATTTGATATGTAGAAATTGTCCATTTTTTAAAAAAGATTTTATTTGACAGAGACACAGCGAGAGAGGGAACACAAGCAGGGGGAGTGGGAGAGGGAGAAGCAGGCTTCCTGCTGAGCAGGGAGCCCGATGTGGGGCTCGAACCCAAGACCCTGGGATCATGACCTGAGCTGAAGGCAGACGCTTAACGACTGAGCCACCCAGGCGCCCCAGGAATTGTCCATTTTTTGACTGCTTTTTATTCTCCCACATGAATCAACAATATTTAATGTAGCCATTTCTCCAAATGATAGATTTCTAGGTCATTACTTTTTTCCATTACAACGATGCCACAGTGAAGATCTATATACATGTCTAATGGTGTGACCGTTTCTTTGGGGTATAGATACAAATTGATGAGAGCATATGTACATTTTCACTCTACGAGGTATTGCCAGAATATTCTCCAAAGTGGCTGTACCATGTTGCCAACCATTTGCTGTTAGATTTTTAAATGGTTGCCAGTGGTATCTTGTTTTGATTTACATTTCCTAATGTTTGTCATCTTTTCATACATTTATTAGTCATTCAGGTGTTCTCATCTTTTTCCTGTTCACTTTCTTTGCTTTCTCTTGGGTATTATTTTTCTTGTTGATTTTAGATTTTTGCATATGTCCTAATCAGACTAATCCTTTGTTGGTTATATATGTTGCAAATATCTGCTTTTATGTTAAACAATTTTCAACTTTGATATAACTCTGGAAATATTTTTAAGTGAAGAATTATGCTAATTTTATGCTTAGTTTTTAATGTGAGGACCTTGCTTAGAAAGGCTTTGTTCTTTTTTGAGCTGTTGCTGTCAGTTTCAGTGTACTTTGACCATATTATCACAAGTGTAATTTCGAATCTTTTTAAAGCACCCAGATTAGAGGAGTTTTAAGTGAAAAATATGGTCCTTATTAAATTCTGCCATGTGATAAAAGGTGAAACATTAAGTACATAAGTCCAAAGCATTTATAAATTGGACTATAGTACAAACATTGAGGGTGCTTTTACTCTAGCAAACCAGAATTTACGTGTTCATTATAAAATACTGAAGCTGGATTTCCTCCTCTCTTTTACAAACTACTAAATCAAGGTCTATTTGTTCTTCCATGGCCATATCTGTCAAAATATACATCTACTCAGACCAGTCCCTATTTTATATGCATGGAGCTTTGATATTTATCTGAGTGCTGTTTCCTGGAATGTCCTTTCAAGTATAGACATTAATGAGACATCTCAGTACCCAAAAGTGTAAGACTATTTTTTCATCCAGTGTTGCTAGATGTATCAAGTGTTATATCTAGTAATAGATATGCATGAATCCCAGCTTTCATTTAACTTCTTTGGATGTCACTGAGGAAACCTTGTGTTTCTTTCACTTGATTTCATTTAGTCATATACATGTACAGTTGATCCTTGAAAAATGCGGGGGTTAGGACCACCAACCCCCCTCGCAGTAGAAAATCCACACATAATTTTTGACTTCACAAAAACCTAATACCCACTGTTGACCGGAAGCCTTATCATTAACATCAGCAGTGGATTAACACATATTTTGTATGTTATATCATGTGTTCTTGTAATAAAGCTGGAAAAAAGGTTTTGAAAATTATAAAGGTACATTTCATGCTGTACCATGTCAAAAAAAATCTAAGTAGACCTGTGCAGTTCAAAGCTGTGATGTTCAAGGGTCAACGGTATAGTCTAGTGACCACTGATATTTCATGCTGTTTTAAGATAAATCTATTTTATTGGGCAGAATTATGAGACCAAGTCCAGCCTGCACTGGTTTATTCCTTTTCAAGATATTTATTGTTGAAATAGAGCACTCTATATGATAGCAGGAATCCTAAGAAATATATTGACATTTGGTCCCTAGGAAATCTGAATTTTAAATAATAGTCTAGCAGTTATGGTAAGACTGACTCTATGAGCATTGCTTCTTTATCCAGTAGAAAGTGTGAGATTAAAAATAGTTTTCTCTCCAATGTTTAGGTTGGTCACAGCAGATGTAGCTTTTTACACTGGAAATCTTCAAGCCTTAAAAGGCCTTAAAGATTTGGACCTAAATATGTCCGAGATCTGGGAACAGAAGAGGTGATGACATACTGGAAAACTGGGTAGCTCATCTGACCATGGGATGTGTATGTTTATGAAGAAAATGTGGATGCCTGTGATTCAAGAACTGAACCTCGAACCCAAAGTGAACTGGGATAGGGGAAGGGGAAAAGGAAAGTATCAGTGTTGGGAAACTGGGATTCAGTGGGATCTACAAGGAATGCCATTTTTATGCTTCCTTCAGTGAGGAGTAACTGATCAGGTGTCTGTAACATTTTTCATTCTCTCTGGAAACAGACTCAGGTTTCTTTGGACCAAATCCAAAAGAACACATAGCTGTAACACAGCTGTAGTTGACTAGAATGCTCTGTATACTTTATATTAAAAAATGCTTTGCATTTCTTCCAGTGCAATGAAATTCATATGGTGTCCCACCTTATTTAATGATGGTACAATTTAAAATATTAAAATCTTAGTCAACCTCTGTAGAAAGTTTTCTCTATGAAAGTAAAGCTGTTTGAAAAATTATTTTTTTACAGATCTTTCTATAAAAAATAAACATCTTTTGATTGCTTGGATTTAGGAATTCAGTTTTTGTTTTAGTGACCAATGTCAAGTTTCAGGCCTTGTGTGTCACATATTTAATCTTTCTACCACCACTCTATGTCAACTGGATAAAGCCTTCCAGAATAGTCTAAATACTTGAAAGTCTGATCACAGTAATAATTAAAGAATAAGATATTGGCATTTATTTATGCAACTACTAATTTAAATACTTTTCAGAAGTGGTATATGAAAGGCTGCAGTTTAATAGCTGTATTTTTATAAAAGTATCTATGAAGGGTTGGTTTGTGTTTTTTATTTCTAGCAAATCATAAGACATTTTAATATGTTCTATTTATGAGTTCCCTTTTTAACATTTAGATAACATATGAAGTATGGCCCCCTTGGGTTCTTGTTTTTAAAAAGTTACTTTCGACGTGTGTATGAACAAAGACCAGGGAGAAAATAGAACTTTTAAAATATAGACTGCTGTGTTGGGGCCAGAAATACAAGGTGATGAGTAAGTTATTTCAAGATATTATAATACCTACCTTCAAAACTAGAATCAGCAGCACTCTACAACTGAAAGTGCCTGTGCCTCACCTCATACCGGGAATCTTGCCTCACCCTGTCAGAGTGCCTAACCTTGTGGTGATTATGTACAGTGAAATAATTAATAGTCTTATTTTGTGCTCTTCCATTCCCTTAAAAGGAAAGCCTGTTTTCTTTATCATTACTAAGGTATGTCATTGGTTCTTAAACTGTCTAAAATAAAGCTGTAAAAAATTATCAGACTTTATAAGGCAACTTCTTTTTAATAGTATACAGTAAACTTTAAATACAAGCAGCCTACTCAAAAACAAATATGTAAGAATTAGAAATGTAATTAATCCTTAGAGAAAAGCCACAAATTAAACTACCAGCAGAGCTGATCTGAAAGGTTATTTGTGAATATTTTCAGTCACAACAAGAAAGCTTCAAGGAAAGGGAACTTTATAAAGTTGTACCCCCACCCCACCATACTAGAGAACAAGGATGTAAAAGAAATACCCTACCTCTACCCACCCCATCCCTTCAGCTGGGAAAAGAAACATCACTTTGTTTTAATAAATGGAGAGTCTGTGGAAAGCATGGCAGGCATCCCAGCCTTAGGAGTAGATGAAAGGCCTTCAGGTTTATTCCTATGGAAAGAATGATGTGGTTAAGATTCTTAGAAATGCAAAAACTAGATATGTTAGGTAACTGGCCAATGAGTACTTAAATATTTCAAGAGCAAATCTTCCAACTGATCCAGTAACTGTTTTGCAAGAGTAAACCGTTTTTCTTCGCCATTTCATAAAGTTAGCATTGAAAGTGTACGTGTGCACATGGATTGCCTCACAGCTTTATTTTTGAAATCACAAGCAATTCAAAGTGACCATCACTGAGGCCACTGTTAAAAGATGTTCCAGCAGAGCTGCCCCAGTTTTAAGATTAAACAGTATTGCACTTTAAGATGAACTTTCAGGGTCCTCTTCAAAGAAGAAAAATATTGCTTCCATCTGTGCTTTTCTTCGACTAAGCATATTGCAAAAAAAAAAAAACTACTTTAAAAATTAACACCTCAGGGTACAGTAACATAGTAAAGTACCTGCCGATTTTAGAATCCTAGAGAACATTTCATTGTAAGAAACTGTTTAGCCCATAATTAGTATGAAGTGTACACAGTATTTTTCATTTCAGTGGTCCAAGATACGAAGGTTCCCTGATACAATCTTGTTCTCTAATACTGCTCCAGGTGGGATGTCGATTCGGTCACCATGATTTGCGATGATGATAACTGTTCCCTACATGACAGGGAAGACAAAACAGAAGAGTGTAAAACTGCAGCTGAAATGCAACTGATTTTCTTACAATTACCAAGTTTATGTACCAGGTTTATGCTCCATTTACAGTGGAGCAGTTGTACTTATTAGCAGTATTAAAGTATGAAAAATAACATGTTAAGGAAAACTGTATAATGTGTCCCTCCAAGAATCCTGACAGTAGTTCTAGAGACGCTGCCTCCATATCAGAGGCGGTACCGGGGTGAGAAGTGGGCCCTGTGCCACAGCATGACTGGCCCTTTCAAAGAGCTACCTTCATAAAGATACTGAGGTGCTTGGTTTATATTTACATACAGATTTGGGTTTTATTGGTTTACGAATATATTTTTCATGTCTCAAGTGAGACTATTTAGATGAGGCAGTATTAGCAATAAAGTTCCATGTATGTGTGTATATACACAGTATCAGCAATAAAGTTCCATATACCTATATATGTATATATACACGTATAGATAGGTCTGTACAGTTGACTCTGGAACAACACGTTTGAACTGTCTGGGTCCCACTAACATGCATTTTTTTCAATATATACAGTATAGTACTGTATATGATTTTCTTAAAATTATCCTATCTCTAGCTTCCTCTATTGTAAGAATACAGTATATAATATATATGACCTACAAAATATGTGTTAATCAACTGTTATCAGTAAGGCATCCAGTCAACAATAGGCTATTAATAGTTACATTTTGGGGAGTCAAATACATGGATTTTTGACTACACGGGCGTCACCACCCCAAGCCATCACGTTGTTCAAGGGTCAACTGTATACACATACATATAGACACACATATTTATATACACCTATATCTATATCTTTTTGTTAGAAATTTCTAAGATCCTCATTTAAGGAGCTTTACTAAAGGAAGACCACATGTACTCTAGGTATGGGATTTTTTTTTTTTTTTAATAGGAAAAAGCTGTTGTATCTTTGGTTCTGAGCTTTAATATTTATACCTATAGTCCTTCCTATTTCTTAGGCTAGAATGATACTCATCAAAGTACCCAAGTACTACGGTATGTGAATAAATCTCTATACTGACGACAATCGATTACTTTAAAAGGAATAGATTATATTCAGTATAAGTGAAGTTGTCATTTACTTTCATTCAGATTCAAATAGTCATCTTTGGTGAGCTAATGCTACTTTAACAGTGATTCTCTTTTACAGACTGTCATTTCAATAAAATAGTACCAGTTAAATTACTTACAGGTGTTTGCTTTCCATTTGAATGCTATATTCCACAAAGTTCCTATATACAACAATTGTGGTTGTATTTTAACTATGTTGTATATCTATGGAAGATAGTTATTAATACTAAATACTGTGGTAAGCTATTTCATTTTAAAAATATATTTATGTCTTATAAACATCTGGTATAGACTAAGAGGTATTCTTTAAAATAAAGGTAAATTTAGGACTAGAAAATGAAACCTGTTTTGTAAAGCTGTAAGAACTGTAATTTTCATCAGAACAACACACCTTTAGTGAAACATTCTTGCCAAATGTCACATCTCCTGAAACTGTGAGGTGATCCAATTCAAGCATATCTGGTATACTTTCAAATCTCCTTAGATAATCCTGAACCTGAAAGAAACAAATTGTTTCAAAAATGGGTTAACAGAAAAAAACAGATTAAATTAACAAGATAGTTTACTTGAACTGTGAAAACATTCTATTTATGGCCAAGCTCAGGCCCTCTATGGGGAGAACCTATTTATTAAGCATTTGCTATATGCTAGATGCTGTGCAGGAGAGACCATGAGATATGAACACTGTCCCTACAATTAAGCAATTTATGACACCACTGAGCAGATCAGACATTAATAAATAAACAACACGCTAAGAGCCCAATGAGTAGTTCAAATAATCTGGAGTGTAGTTGGAAAGAGATCATCATTGAAGCAAGCTAGACTGGAGCTGGGCTTCAGAAGAAGTAGAATATTTCATGCACAGCAACAGCACAAATTATCAAATTATCATTACAAATGATTACCTTTTATTTCCTGAGATTTATGGGCACTTTGTAGAAATTGTCTTATAGGGCCTTGTTTCCTATTTTGCTAAGAAAAGTAGAAGCAATCTGAAAAGTTGTTACACGCAAACAGTGAATCATGGAACACTACATCGAAAACTAATAATGTACTGTATGGTAATTAACATAATAAATTAATTAATTTAAAAAAAAGAAAATTAGAAGCAATCTGAAAAGGTCCATTGACTTCTACCATGGGCTACCAATGGGCTACTTGCCCCCTAGCCCATTACTCTGTCCCTTCCTAGTACTGGGTATACTCCAACTTAAGGCCAGGCCTCCTTATGGCCTATTCAAGGATATTGTCCAGTGATTCTTTCTCCCTCTTCAATGTTTTCTCTCTCTGATCACATCAATTCCAGGCAATGTATAAATATCCCATAAATTCTCCCATCTTTAAAAAGCAAACAAAGAACTCTCAAATCTTATATCCCTTTCTATCTATGGCTGCAATTGTTTTGCTTTGCTTTGTTTTAGGGCAAAATTCTTGAATTAGTTGTCTGCATCTCTCTAATTTCTCCTGTTCTCTACTAAATCCCCTCCAGTCAGGCTCCAGAACTTCTATATTGATAAATCTACGTGAATTCTCATCGATCTTGAACCATTCATCTTACTTGAATCAGCAGCAGCACTTGACACAGATGATCACTCCCTCTTGAGACATTTTCTTAATTTGGCTTTCAGGACACACACACTCATGGTTTTCTACCCAGTTCCTCATCTGTATCTCTTCAGTGACCTTTGCTGCTTCCTCTACCTCATCCCTATCCTCTAAGCCTTGGAATGTCTTAGGGAATAGTCCTCCCACTTCCTCCCTAGGTGATCCCTATCTCATGGCTTTAAATACCAGCTATAAACAGAGGACTCTCAAATTTACCTGGCTCTTCTAGATTTCTCCTCTGATCTAGAAAGAGTCTAATAAATTTGAAGGTCTAATAAATACAGTATCTCCAAAATTGAATTCCCCATCCTGCTCCCCCTAAACCTACTTCCCCCATCTCCATAAATGGCAGGAAAGTCCATGCTTCAAGTTGCACAGGCTAAAAACCCTGCAATCATCCTTAACCCTTTCTCTCTTGCACTCCCATCTAGTCCGACTGCAAATTCTGTAGGTACAACTGTCAAAATTTCTCAGAATGTCAACATTTTTTCACTATTTCCACTGCCATCACCCTGGTCAAAGCCGCCATTTCCTCTTGCCAGAATTCCTGCAACAGCCTATTCCTGGTCTCTCTGATTCTACCCTCGCTCAGCAGATTGGTCACTTCACCTTAGCTCGCAACTCTCTGATGGTTTCTCATCCACCAGGGAAAAAAAAAAAAAAGCCACCCACATTCCCAGTATTTAGTTACAAGGTTCTACACATTAGGACTGTTCCCTGTCTGACCCAACTACTTCCCCCATCTCTCACTTGCTTATTACTCTGCCCCAGCCATATTGTGCTCTGTAAAACTCAGAGCAACTAGCCATTGCCCACTCAGCCCCTGTTCTCAAATTAGGGCAGCTAACGTTCTTATCTCCTGCAGGGTATTGAGAAGGCTAGGAAGATTGAGGGGGACATGAAGGGGGAGGGGTGAGGCTGGGTAGAAAAATAGCTGGGGCGCCTGGGTGGCTCAGTTGGTTTAGCATTTGCCTTCGGCTCAAGTCATGATCCCAGGGTCATGGGATCAAGCCTCGCATTGGGCTTTCTGCTCAGTGGGGATCCTGCTTCTTCTACCTGCCGCTCTGCCTACATGTGCTCACACGCTCGCTCTCTGTCAAATAACCGGTTTCTAAAAAAAAAAAAGAAAGAAAAACGGCTGGCAGTACCCTCTCTGTACCACCAGGATTTTCCCAGCTCAACCAGGCTGATAAGAGGCACCCAAATAGGGGGAGTCCTAAAGTGCCTGATGTTATCCTGGAAATTGCAGCACAGCCACAGGACCCAGAATCATCCCCCATCGATATATGAGGCAGAACATACCTCCACACCAAGTGGCACTAACCACAACCAGGACTAGACTAGGCCTGGAGGGCCTAGCAGGACGCCAGGCCAACCACAAAACACTTCATTAACTTCACGATATTTGATGTGATGAAATGTTTTGAATTCCACTTACCATGCTAGGGTGGGGTTTTCCTATACTTGCTATTCTCCCTGCTTGGAATGCTATTCATGCAGTGTAAAATTATACCAACATCACTGCACCCACACATTCCCTATTCCTGCTTTTTCTCCATGCATTTTCCACCACTTGACATAATATACATTTGCCTATCATTCTTACCCCACTAGAATATTCATGAAGGCAAGGATTTTAGTCCATTTTATTTACTGCTAACTATCCACAGCACCTGGAACACTGCCCAGCACATGGTAGGGGCTCAATATTTGTTAAACCAGAATTAACATTCTCCCACTGATGAAAGCAGTAAATGGTTTTACAAGAGACATAAAGTAAAATGTCCCAAAATTAAACGTTCTTTCCTACTCTTTAGCAATCAGATTTCAAAAGTGAGTTACATCTCTATCTTCTAATGCTGATTCCCTTTAAAAGACAGCAAAGACAGAGGAATGTAATAGGTCAGCCGCTGAGAGTGTAATTAGACCCCAATTCACATCATTCCAATCATTTTTATACTTACACATTTAAGAACTATAAATTCACATGTATATCATATCTATAATTACGTACCTTTGTAAAAGAACTGCCTAATTTAACCAAGGGTACTGTAGGAAATTCCCGCTTTTCACTCATTGTCAAAGATCCTGCATTAAGGCTATAGAGGTTTGACATCACAAGCAAGAGATCTGATGTGGTTTTGACAGGTAGAAAGCGGCTCCTAGGAACATTAATACCTAGAGAGTTCTCAAAACTTTTAATGGCAGCGCCTACTGCAGTTTCTAACTGAATGACATTCAGGCCTCCATCCAAGGTCTGTAAGAAAGAAAAGCGGGCAGGGGGAGAGGAGAAATAGGTTTTAGCAACTTAGTTCCATGTGGGCTGGTTAATATTTGGGGAGTGGTTTCAGAGATCCATTGAAGGAGACAGAATTTTGAGAAGTGACATTTAGCAAGTACCTACCATATGCCAGGTGCTTAGACATACATGGTCTTTTTTTTTTTTTCCTTCAGCATCATAACTCCTGTTTAGTAATGTTTCCATTTTATGATAAAGAACCGGAGGTTCACAAAAAACTCATGCGAGATGCCTGTGGCCAAAAGGCCTTTAAGTATCAGAGCAACAAGACCGAGGTAGGTTCTCTACTTTTGGGCCCAGTGCTCTTGCCACTACCACGGCCCTGCGTCAAGTAAGAGCACCAAGGCTTCACACTAAAGAGCTGGTGTATAGACTCTGAAAGACAGGGCCAGGAACTGGAGTGACTTACTAGGCAAAAAGGAAGGACCCGTGAATAGATGGGCCAGAGAGAATGGGCAGTGGATCTGTGTGTAGGGAGGCAAGGGCTGCACCTCTGGCTTACCTTTGGATTCACAATGATCTCCATATCAATAGCATTTTGCTCCTGCAGTCTTTTAACTGCTGCAAGAGAGATCCATAGGTTGTTTGTGTTAAATATTTTGAATTTTGATACAGACTTGAACTCGTCAACATGTGCTTTTGGCACTTGAGCGATTTCCACCAGTCTCAGTTTGCCTTCATACTGGGTGAGTGTCCCACCCTAGAAAGGCAGAGAGGAGTGTGTGAGTACCTCCACATCTCTCCCAGTCATAACCATACCATGCTATTTCTAGTCTGTGAAAGTGTTAGAGAAAAGACACTGATGATAAAATCCCCCAGAAATAAAAAGTTTTGGCATTGATTCAATCTTTGATACACAGCAACATACATATGATGGTAGAACCAAAGAAAATATTCAGGTTGTCATTTTATACTATATACACAGCCTCTTGTCCACAGTAAAAGCCCTGGGAGTACATCAGAGTCTTCCTCGCTTTTTGAAAGTCTGCTATAGGAACAGCCATTCCTCTCATTCCCAAAACACCGTCCATCACTAAATAACTAGTCCTACTACCTCAGACCCTGCTCTAGGATTGGCTCTAGGATAGGAGGAGAAAAGGGAGGACAGAGGCACAAGGGGTGAGGAGTGACCCCCTGAGTGGCCTCAGCTTAGAGATATTCTTACAGTCATGAGGCCACAGCCATGTGGGGAGAGGGGAATGTTCACTCACACATCAGGGGGCACTGCAAGAGGCACAGAACCCAGCCTAGGGACTGACCATTTTAGTATTTACACACTGCCCATTTCTTTTACTCCCTGTGGCCAAGAAGTAAAACCTTGTGTACCATTTCATGACCACTATACATGCAAAGTTAAAAAAACATTTGTTTTGCAACTACAGAGATATTACAGTGATTAAGAAAATATATAAAAATGCATAGGTAGAAAAAGAAATAGTACATTTTCACTAAAGGAAAAATGAAATAAGCACCAAACTAGAAGAATATCAAAGGTCTGAACAAAACATTTGAAAGTGTTTTCACTTATCCTATAAATATATATAGAACTGTTTTCAGTTAAAATCGCCCATATAGATCACTCAACAATACCGTTAAAGCTCAATTTATATATATACAGTTATGTCAGGTGGAACTTAGGGTACTCTACAGAATACTATCTCACTCTGTCTTACAATGATGTTACCAAGTGGATGAATGTGTTGTTTTGTTTACCACTGAAACTTTCCAATTAAAAAAAGCAACTGGAGGGTGTTATGCTGAGCAAAATAAGTCAATCAGAGAAAGACATATATGACCTCACTGATATGAGGAATTCTTAATCTCAGGAAACAAACTGAGGGCTGCTGGAGTGGTGGGGGGCGGGAGGGATGGGGTGGCTGGGTGATAGACATTGGGGAGCGTATGTGCTATGGTGAGTGCTGTGAATTGTGCAAGACTGTTGAATCACAGATCTGTACCTCTGAAACAAATAATGCAATATATGTTAAGGAAAAAAAAAAAGCAGAAGAAGAAGATAGGAGGGGAAGAATGAAGTGGGGGAAATCAGAGGGGAGACGAATCATGAGAGATGATAGTCTCTGAAAAACAGACTGGGGGTTCTAGAGGGGAGGGAGGTGGGAGGGGGAAAAAAAAAGCATTTGAACTACAAGACCTATGCGTTGTGAAGATGTGACTCCCCAAACTGTTTCCTCTCAATATTTACCTTTACATCTGCACGTGTTTTATTTGTGACTTCCATGACAAATTCACAGGGTTTTCCATTGGGTGGGTTCATTAGATGATTAAGAATATAAAGATCCACGGTGGCACCCAGATTATCTATGTTAGACACAAAAATATACTCTTTGCCTTCTCCTATAAGGGTGTCGAGCAAACCAGAGTTGTAGAAACTGGCGTATATATCACCATGACCTGGAGGGTACCAAGCTTCTGTATTTTCCCCTGAGTATGAGACATCCTTTGCTACAGGCAGTAAAGATTCTTTATTAATCCTCGGGTACCTTAAAAAACAAACAAACAAACCAAGGTCTTTTTCTATATCAATTCTGTAAAGCATTCCAGACCTTCAAGTAAAACAATGCATTTAAAGTTAAATAAAACTTCCCTCCTTCTCAGGCTATCAATAGTAATTTAATCATAGGTAAATCCATTTAAGAAAATCTCTTATCTGTGTTGTCCAATAATAAGTTTCCTAGATCATAAGATTTGCTGCAAAAAAACTTCCACTGTTATACAGATGGGAGGACACCTCATACTTCTAGGGTATTCATAGATTTGATGACTCTATAAGAGGAGAAATACATTAAGTAAATTTCTCAAACTTCTTTGGTCATGGAATTGTTCTTTCCCCTCCAAGTTTGGAAAAATCTGCCCATTCTTACAACCGTATATTCAGGGGTGGTGCTCTTTCTTTCCCAGAAAGTCAGCAGCACATCAGTGCTCAGGGACATCTCCTCCCTACTACGAGCGAGGACAGGTGTGGGGGCTGGCAGTGAGGAGGGGGAAACGGAGGAGCTAGCACTGTAACAGACCAAGGACCAACCTAAAACCAGAAGATGGAGGCAGAGCACCTGCAACATAGCAAGTGTCCATGAAAATAGATGAAAACAACAACAAATGGTACAACTTTTAGAAGTACCTGTTCTGTACAAATTCATATGGACCCACATTCATCCTTAGATGGGAGACTTACTTCCCCAGTTGCCTGAGCTTTATCCAAAGTCATCACCTGAATCCCTTTCTACAGGCATACGTCAGAGATACCGCAGGTTCGGTTCCAAACCAGAGCAATAAAGGAAATGTCGCAATACAGTGAGCCAAGTGAATGTTTGGTTTCCCAGTGCATGTAAAAGGTATATTTACATTATATTAAGTGTGCAGTCGCATTATGTCTAAAAAAATGTACATACCTTAATTTAAAAAAGCACTTCATTGCTCAAAAATGCTAACCATCATCTGGGCTTTCAGCAGGTCAGACTCACTGATCACAGATCACCATAACGAATACAATAATAAAGAACAAGTTTGAAATATCATGAGAATACCAAAATGTGTGACACAGACACAAAGTGAGCAGATGCTATTGGAAAAATGGCACCAATACCAATAGACTTACTTGCTCAATGCAGGGTTACCACAAATACTCAACTTGTAAAAAAAAATGCAGTATCTACAAAGCGCAGTTGAAGTGCAATCAAACAAGATATGCCTGCACTTACTTTCCCTTCCTCAAAGTAGAAGATCTGTTTCCAGGATTTATTAAATTTCCCCCAAGCCTATTCCGGATGTTGAATAAATTTCTTCCCATATGAAAGAAGGTTATTGTAGAACATATAAAAGTTTTCATCCACCCATGTGGAGCCCAAATATGCCCTCAGAAAGCAAAGACCTAAGCCATCCTCAAATATTCTGGACATGGAACAAGCAGATTCTCTCTTAGGAAGAATCACAGAGTGATTATAACAATCACCTATCTGTGAACAAGTGTTCAGCCTTTAAAGACACTGAACATTTTCAAACATGAGTTTTTGGCACATATACATCTTGAGGCTGCTCTATTTAAACAAGACAAAACATCTTTGTTTCCCAGGAGTAACACCCTCCAGACTTTTTATTACTTATTGTACCTGCTTTGATTAAAAGTGTAGATTTTCACACGACAGTGATTGTACTTCTGTAGTATTTTTTTTGTATCTTCATCCGTGTTAAAAGAGTTCATTAGAACAAGAGGAACATCTGTATTGTAGGTTTTGTTCAAATGCTAGGGAGGAAAATAACAATCAGATTACCCAGACCTACTTTTCTTTCACTTAAAAATGTAAAACTCATAGTGGCTAATCACAAAGTATCTAGAACATCACCTATATGTAGCCCAATACAAATATTTAGCACAAGCCGGATATTTTGCTAAGCAGTTCACCATGGACTTGCTCATTAAGTCACAATCCTATGAGACGGAAACTTTGTCTGCAATATACGGATGGCTAAATTAAGGGCCAGAGAGGCGGCAGGTCGTCAGCAGAGCCGGGACACCCCCATGGTCCAACTCGAGTTGTGTGCCCCGCCAGGGCCCTGTGGCCTTACTGGATAGGCAAATACTGACAGAGCATTTACTCTGTGTCCAGAGCACAGTGGGGATGAAAGTACAAATGTTACAAAAACATGGTTCTCTAGTCTCAGGATTAATGTCAAGAACTGTGAATCGCACCCCAGCTGAAATCTTTTCAATCTCTAGGAAGAGTTAAGAGGCGACACAGAGTGAGAAGAAAACAAGGTCTCAGAAGTGAGACCGTCCTGTGTTCACAGAGGGAATCTTGGGCAAGTAAATCAACCTCTCTGTGCCCTGGTTTCCTTACCTGTGAAATGGGGATGATAATATAAAGAGTACTTATGTTACAGAGTTGCTGAGAGGAACAAGTGAGGCATTCACGAACAGAGCTCAGAACCCCACTCAGTGTACATCCACTCCAGGCTAGATGACCGTTAGTTGTTGCTGCTGCTAGTGTTAATACTGTAGTTGCCTGCACGTACTGGACGTGAGAGAGAGAGATGAAGAAGACTCCCCCGAAGGAACTTACAGCCCACGATTACTGACTTTATCATAAGAGAGACGGCAAGGACAGTTCTAGGCAACCATGGCTGCCGACCAGATACGGAAATTCTCCCTGGCCTCCCCAAAGGGGTTAATAAAGCCAGACCATCCCAGCTGTGATGAAGGCTGCCATCCAAAAGAAAAGGTGGGAGGAGGGTGGGGAGATCAAAGGAGAATCCAAAAAGATCCAGAGATTTCAACAACCACAAATGCTACTTAAAGATCAAAAGCTTTTATTTTACATCACCCTAAGGATTTGTCCTTGGGAACACCAAACCTTTTTATATACTAATACAGAAACTAAAGATAGCAAGCTCCTTGACTAGCTCAAATCCACATCTGTTATTTTGTAACGTAACATTTATAATAACCTAAAACTGGTTTTAGTAGTTCATGAGAAAGGCTGAATGTTACTCACTTCAATTTGCTGAACGGTCAGATCCAAAAAGGTATTCTCATTCCTCACACCAATCAGACTTTTCGGGCCTTTGCAGCCCATGCTGGTTCCCAAACCTCCATTGAGTTTCACCACCACCAGCTTGTTCAGCACGGAAGATATATTATCAGGTAAGCCTCTGGCCTTTATCTTTTCATAGGGTTGAATCTGAAATTTTAAACAAATTACAGAATTCAAATAGCTTTATGAGAGGTTAAATCCAATCAATCTCAGGGTTATTTCCATGTGCCCTTAAAGAGTTTTGTTTTTCTCCATGGAAAGTTTCAACATTTCCTTTAATGTCACAAGTCCTTCCGGTACTTACTCAGAGGCAACTGCTCTTTAACAAAGTAGTTCAGTGGTTCATTTACATTAGAATGGAGTACGAGAAGGGGGGAAGTTACAGTCTGCAAAGACTTGTCTGGCTCCTGAGGACATCTAAGTCACTTGGACTACCTTTAAAAACTTAAGAATTCTCAATTTGCATCAATATAGTAAATGGGATACACAAAACTCATCAAATCTGCAAATATTTCTAGTGCAGTATAGATCTACTTCAATTCTGGAGAAGTACATATATGATCATACATTATTCCTTCTCCCAAAGGAGGCAAAAACCAAAACCAAATGCTTTTCTCCTCCATTCAATAGTAAGTCTTCAGAGGAAGAAGGTGGCATGGGGTTTTTATCATATTTCTAGGTATGTAACAAGGATAGAATTCCTTAAGAATTTAACTGTCAGGCATCACTGTATAGCAGATCATATTGGAAAACTGTGTTCTCATTGCTCCAATAAATACCCTGATGGGGTAGGAAAGGCAAGAGCTGAGGCTGGAGAGAATCCCCTCCTCCCTGCACCCCTGTGTATTTCTGGGAGCACAGAGCATTACTCTTCATGCTGTGAAGGGAACAACCACATAGTGGGAGCCCAAATTCTTATGTTCAAAGCAGGAGGCACAAGCAAGTCTAAAGATCTTATAGCAAGAATGAAAGCTTTTAAAAAGATCACGGTATACTCTCTAACCATTTACAGGGCTTTTTTGGGGGTTATCCTTCTTTAATGGAATATATCATCTAATGTACTTCTCAATTACGTCATCATGGTATAGTACAGATAACAATTGAGGGGACTGAAGAAATACAACCATTATAGTAAGTGCTCAATTACTATGAGCTGAGCTGTTTTCGTTTTGCTACCTATAGAGGCTGTGGGGGTGGGTGAGGGATAAAGTCTGTAATTGGGAAAGGAGCTGATGGGCTCACATTCCAGTAATTAGGCTTTGGAGGCAAAACACACATACATGTCCTATGTCGACTCCTGACCACACAATTTCTGCTGTTAGCAGTTCTTTCCACACAAACTAGTCTTGCTTCTTACTTCCTCTACCCTGCAAGACACTCTGTTAACTGCCAACTGCAGATGAATGCACTTTTTGCTTGGTGTAAATGCTGAGAAATAAGCACTCTTCTCTAAGACCCTCCACTGATTACCACCCCTAGTTATCACTCATTCTGAATTAGTTCCTTATGTGGTAGGATCGCCAATCTTCCCGGTAGGTGCCACTAAGCAGTCTTCAGCAGTCATTCATACTTAAAAGTATGGAAAGACCAGAGGAGGGGACAGACTTGTGGGCACCATGGCCCTCAGTGGGTGCTGCCTAAGTACTGGAATGCTCACCACCAAGGAAAAGAAGGATGATGGGGAGGCAGGAAAGAACACAGACTACTGGTTGCTTCTCTGGCAGCACCTGGTCCATGTGAGGACAATGTACGAATGATAACAACTTGGGATACCCAACAAGCACACCAAGTGCCTGTGGCTCAGTTGACTGGCATTCCTCGAAGGATGTTTTGACCCCACCGCCATGAACATCGTTTCTTCGGCATGTCAAAGAAACTGGTAATATCACTTGAGAGAAAAAGTCCAATTTAAGTGCTATATTACTAGAAAAATAAGAGGAGATAACAGAGCTGGAACCTGTCACCCTAATATAACATAGCAGTTTATAATCCTTTCATCAGCAGAGCTGTTGACATCAACCAGTCAGTAAAAGGAATGCCACTGTGATATAATGGCTTCAAACACTCTATTATTAGGTTATAGGAGAATTTCTTGGGCACATTACATTTACTCAAAAGAGTTAGCAAATGGAACCAAGCCAATTATTTTTCCACTTATCTTTTAAAAGCCAAGAATTTCCATTTAGCAGTTACTTTTGACTTCCAGAAAAGAATCTGATCTTTACAGAGGGCTCAAGAGGGTGTGAAAATCAATTTAACTAAAACTCCCTAGTTCATGCATTCATTTTAGGTAAAATTATTAGTTCAGAAATATTTTTACCTATTTAATGCTTCCTTTAATATACCTTTAAAAAAACAGAATACATAAAAGAATTTTTTTTCTACATATGGTGAGACAGGCCTACATTTTCCAATTTCACCTAAAAGATTTTCATTATGAAATATCATACATTCAAGTTATAAAATATATACAGTCAAAAGAATAACCTAAATAAAAAAGAACACTGCCGTAACTTAGAAGCCTCCTTGAGTCTGTCCCTGATCACATTCCTCTTCCACCCCTAGTGGTAACCACCATCTTGATGTTTACACTTTAGTTTTACCACCTATGTATGTATCCATAATGATAATATTTTACTTAATTTTGTCTCTAAACTTTTGACTTGCTTCTTTAATTCAATGTTATATTGAATTATATATATATATAGGAATAATTCACATTAATGCATGAAGCTATAGTAATTCACTTTTCACTGCCATATAGTATTCAATTTATATAGCCATTAAAAGAAACAAAACTGTCATTATTCAGATATGATTTTATATATAGAAAATCCAAAGACCCTACAAATAAATTATTAGAATAATGTAAACATAGCAACATTGAAGATACACAGTCAATATTTTAAAAAAAAAACAACTGCTTTTAGAACCCTTGAACTCTGCTGGTGGGAATGTAAAATGGTGTGTAGCTGTTAAAGAAAAAAATATGGTGGTTCCTAAAAGAATTTTGGACAGAATACCATATAATCTACCAAGCCCACCTCTGGATATATACCCCAAAGAACTGAAAGCAAGTTCTCAAAGAGATGTTTGTATACTCACCTTCACAGTAGCGTTTATTCACAATAGCCAAAAAGTGGAAGCAACTCAAATGTCCATCAAAAGATGTACAGATAAAACAAAACGTGGCATATACATACAACAGAATATCATTCAGCCTTAAAAAGGGAAAGAAATTCTGACACGTACTACAACATGAACAAACCTTGAGAATATGTTAAAGTAAATAAACCAGTCATAAACCCCAAATACTTCTATGATTCAACTTCTATGAGGCACCTAGAGTAGCCATCAGATTCATATAGACAGAAAGTAGAAGGGTCGTTCCCACGGACTGGGGTAGGGAGGAATGGGGAGGTGTTTAATGGGAACAGTTTTCATTGTGCAAGATCGAAGAGTTCTGTGAATGTACTTAACGCTAATGAATTGTATGTTTCAAAATGTGTAAAGATGGTTTAAAAAGATGAACCGTTTCTATATATATGAGAATTAGAAATAGGATTAAAAGTTCCCTTTTATTACACTATCAAAAATAACAAATTCTTAGGAATAAATCTAAAAGAAATACAAGAGTTCTACACTGAACACTTCATAAAACATTTTTGAGGAAAGTTAAAAGAAATAAATTCAGGGATATATTTATCAGGTTTGTAAACTACAAGACTTATAAAAATGTCAATTCTCCTGATCAATGCAATCCTAATCAAAATCTCAACAGTTTTTTATGTGGAAGCTAACAAGTCAATTTAAAGTGTGTATAAAAATGCAAAGGGCAAAGAATAAACAAGACATTCTCAAAGAAAACCACCAAGTTGGGAGAACCGAATTTGTTGACAGTCTTTTTTAAATTGTAGTAACGTAAAATTTGCCATCCTAACCATTTTTAAGTGTACGGTTCAAGTATTAAGTATGTTCACACTGTTGGGCAGCCAATCTCCAGAATTATTTTTGTCTTGCAAAACTGGAACTATGCTCATTAAAAAACATGTCCCCATTCCCTCCTCCACTCAGCTCCCAGCAACCACCCTTCTGTCTTCTACCTCTGTGAGTTTGACTACTCTAGGTACCTCAGACAAGTGGAATTATACAGTGTTTGTGACTGACTTATTTCACTTTGCATAATGTCCCCAAGTCATTTAGCATTCTTTTTAAGCAAAGTGGCTTATATGTTTGAGAATATTCCAAATTAATGCAGATTTTTCCAGGAAAAGGTCCATATTTAAAGTTTATTGATGTGTATGCAACGTATCTGGGAAAAGGGGAACTGGTATGAAGGACTGGAATACAGGTACAGGTCGACAATCTATGGCAAACTGAGTCTTATAAAACTTACATATTCTATTTGCAGATATTAAAAGTGGAATAGGACACAAGTTCTGAAGTCTCAGCTTAGTAATTAGGAAACAGATTCTTTTTATTTGAATTTATTGAACGGTACACCCTAACTCTGAACTAAAAAATTAAAGGTTATGAAAAAAATGCTACAAGCAAAACCACAGTTCTAAAAGTATAAATTTTAAAAAATGCTGCTCTTCAGATACATGTGAAAACGATGCAGAACAGCAGGACTTGCGTTTCAGACATCATTCAACACCTGTGTTCTGAATTTCCTAGTATCTCTAAGGGACAGGCAGCCTGTCATTCAAGGAAAAAAACTACAGAAATATAAACAATATAAAAAGATTTCTTCATAATTAAGTATGTAGTCAAAACATCAATAGGATGGCACTCTTTTCACTGTCACTCTCTAGACATAGTGCTGTCCAATAGAACTTTCTCACAATTATGGAAATGTCTTATTTGTGCTGGCCACATGCGGCTGTTAAGCCCTTGAAATGTGGCTCATGCCAACTAAAGAGCTAAAGTTTTCATTTTGTTTAATATTAATGTAAATCAATACACATGGCTAGCGGCATACACAGTTCTAGATGGTCTATTTAAAAAAAAATCAACGAAGGAATCAATTATGTTTTTTCATTTAAAAAAAATATTTTATTCATTTATTTGAGAGAGAGAGAGCACAAGCAGGGGGAGGGGAGGAGGGAGAAGCAGGCTCCCCGCCGAACAGGGAGCCCGATGTGCAG